AGGACGTAGATATTGTAAACAGTGCAACTCTCCCTCTGAAGCAGAGGACGTAGATATTGTAAACAGTGTAACTCCCCCTCTGAAGCAGAGGACGTAGTTATTGTAAACAGTGTAACTCCCCTCTGAAGCAGAGGACGTAGATATTTTAAACAGTGTAACTCCCCTCTGAAGTAGAGGACGTAGTTATTGTAAACGGTTTAACTCCCCCTCTGAATTAGAGGACGTAGATAGTGTAAACGGTTTAACTCCCCCTCTGAAGTAGAGGACGTAAATATTGTAAACAGTGTAACTCCCCCTCTGAAGCCGAGGACGTAGATATTGTGAACAGTGTAATTCCCCCTCTGAAGTAGAGGACGTAGATATTGTAAACAGTGTAACTCCCCCTCTGAAGCAGAGGACGTAGATATTGTAAACAGTGTAACTCCCATCTGAAGCAGAGGACGTAGATATTGTCAACGGTTTAACTCCCCCTCTGAAACAGAGGACGAATGCCACTTTTTATTAGGGTGTGTTCTAAATTCCAAAAAGTCGTTCAGTTATTGAGTGTCCATAATATTAAAGAATTGTGTACACTAGGAAAATTCATCTATGAGGCAAACAAATTAAGGGTATTATAATGGAATATGATTGTCTTTATTCTCTGTACAGTGTCCATGAGTTCTGTATAATATGTATTGTATACTGATGGGCCAATGGCCTAAAGTTCGAAAAAAACTTGAAACTTGAAGTAGTGATTACTAATGCATCCTATACACATTGATTCAATCACATCTGTGTAGTAACGACAATTCTCATTGGTCAATCGCTATGTACATACGCGCCGTTCAAAAATTCCAAATTGTGCAAATAGATGTGATGAAATAGTCCAGACGTGTTGAAGATACTGGCAAAATTATTCCGACGTCTGCTCCAATGTTAATTCCAATTGAGCTCACAAATGTATATCGTCATTAGGAAACGTTCGTTATAGAGTATTTCAGAATGTCTTTTGTCCATGTAGCAGCATATTCCATTGTACTTAACGGCTTTCATTGATAAGTCCGATTCATTGGGGAAAGCTAAATAAAACGGAAGAAAATTGAGATCATGTATGACCAAAGTGCACTCCGAAGACTTACATTTCCTTAACATAGGCATTTATTCCTCCAAAATAACATCACAACAGCTAAGGAATTTAACTTAACACAACCAATGTATTTGTTTATTTACATCTCTGTTTTTGACAGTATTTTGTTTAATTGCAGTTGAAGTCACGCCAGGATTATGACTTTTCGCATGCATTGGACAGCGGTGTATCCAGTTTTGACTGCCCACCAACTTCAGGTAGGAGACCCAATATGTTAACCCGGCATATGTTGAACGTGTGCTGGATTCGCAAATAAGCACAGCTGGCTCAAAGGTCCTGATAATTTTACTTAGAAACCGTCGAACATAACGAATGTGCTGCATTTAAAAAAATATATATACATTTTTTAATAAAAAAAAAATCTGTTACAATTTCTTTTCTTGCAATGTTCGTTTCGCTCTGATATTCCTATATATTTTTTTTTATCTCTTTCTTGATTTTTAATTTTCATATCTCCTTAACTATTTCCTTCTACAATAATTGTCGTTACTCTCTGATAATGACCATAGCTGTTGGTAGGACGTTCAACAATACTAAACCAAAATAAACCAAACCTCTCTGATATTCCGATATTTGAATTTCTTAAGCTACTGTGGTAATAGGTAATCTTCATCCACGCATTCATAGGTCCACGAAGTAATTACAAAAGTTTGATATAAAGCAATTCTCCGTTCGAGTAGGTACTCGTAATCTACGAATTCGTGTACCCACGAAATGGTGTTTTGTCGGGAAACCACAAAAATTGTGCTCCTGAAAATATCTGATAATTGTCGTATTTCTTTAGCTATTTCCTGTTCATAATTCTTGCTTTTCTCTGATATTCCGATAATTCTTTAACTGCTAATGTCTATAATTGTCGTTCGTTTCTAATACAACCTTAACTACATGACTCTTGTTTCTAGTATGTTTGTAAATGTTACTTGTATATAGTTTTATACTATATTTTTTTTTTATCAATTAAGATGGGAGAGTCCAGCCTGCCGGTCTCGCGTTCTTGGACTTCGAAAGAAGCTCAGGTAAAACTATATACTAATAATATTAGAACGTAGTTATTTATTTGTCTGCTTGTATAAATAGTAGTACTGTAGATTTGATTTNGATTCATTATTATAGATTGGAATTAAACGTCCTCATTACCTCACTATTTGATAGTATCTATGGTTTTTGTTGACACTAGATTCATTATTATAGATTGGAATTAAACGTCCTCATTACCTCACTATTTGATAGTATCTATGGTTTTTGTTGACACTAGATTCATTATTATAGATTGGAATTAAACGTCCTCATTACCTCACTATTTGATAGTATCTATGGTTTTTGTTGACACTAGATTCATTATTATAGATTGGAATTAAACGTCCTCATTACCTCACTATTTGATAGTATCTATGGTTTTTGTTGACACTAGATTCATTATTATAGATTGGAATTAAACGTCCTCATTACCTCACTATTTGATAGTATCTATGGTTTTTGTTGACACTAGATTCATTATTATAGATTGGAATTAAACGTCCTCATTACCTCACTATTTGATAGTATCTATGGTTTTTGTTGACACTAGATTCATTATTATAGATTGGAATTAAACGTCCTCATTACCTCACTATTTGATAGTATCTATGGTTTTTGTTGACACTAGATTCATTATTATAGATTGGAATTAAACGTCCTCATTACCTCACTATTTGATAGTATCTATGGTTTTTGTTGACACTAGATTCATTATTATAGATTGGAATTAAACGTCCTCATTACCTCACTATTTGATAGTATCTATGGTTTTTGTTGACACTAGATTCATTATTATAGATTGGAATTAAACGTCCTCATTACCTCACTATTTGATAGTATCTATGGTTTTTGTTGACACTAGATTCATTATTATAGATTGGAATTAAACGTCCTCATTACCTCACTATTTGATAGTATCTATGGTTTTTGTTGACACTAGATTCATTATTATAGATTGGAATTAAACGTCCTCATTACCTCACTATTTGATAGTATCTATGGTTTTTGTTGACACTAGATTCATTATTATAGATTGGAACAAGTTGATATTAGGGATCGTTTATGGGGTTTTGTCAACTATTACACACAAAAGGTCCAATCATAGTTCCGTTATTTTGTTTATGTTCCAAGTTCAAGGTCACGACGTGTTCGTTTGACCTTTAAGAAAACGTAACACGCACCTACACGTACACAAACATTCTCCAAAGCAGGACGCGTACAATTTGAAGTCTTTGGATTGATTATGAGATACAAATATTTCAAGTAACATTATTTAACAAGTTACGTTTCATTGTCTTTCAGATGGCGGATTACGTTGGACTCAGTACGACGGGTCTTACCTGAGAGGGGGAGTTACTATAACCACTATTGGATCCTATACAATGCTCCAGGTCCCCGAAGACGGCCTGTATCGGGTCTATAGCGATTTGGAGTTTCGAGGTAATCTCGATTCTGAAGAGGATGTAACCAAAGCAAATATTCAAGTCCATTCCTTGGTGCGATTTCCAAATAAGGTTGTGCAGATGAACCGATTTACGCTTAAAGAAAATGATATAAAGAAAAGTGTGGCTACAGCGGTACTGGAACTTAATGCGCAGGACGCCATCTTTGTCGCTGTGAAAGACATCAGTTACATATATGATGATTCCAGCGTCAACAGATTCGGTTTATACAAGTTGTCTTAGCATAAGTGATATGACGTCATTCATGACGTCCTTTGACATAAGTATGTGGTTAGGAAGTAGTTCATACCTGACACACGCGAACAATCGTTATAGATGAGCGTTTTACTCAAAACTATTTTAAGTGCCAACTCCAGTTCGCAACACACTTGCCATATACCAGCTAAATTTCGGATAAGACACTAATTTGGCGTTGCCATTACGTTGAACGTCACTGGAAGACCGAAATAGGGGTTGGTTACAGACGTGTTAACCTATTGTATCGCTTAGCTATGGTTGGAAGTTGAGACAGGGGACCAACCAGCAACAGTGGTACCGGCTGTATTGTTTACAGATCTCATGTGTAATGTGGATGTAGGTCCGGGCTGTTTCCACTTATCAAGGAGAGACGTATTCTTCGGCCTCCATTGGCGATATCGGGGAGGGACGTTGTGATTATGGCAGGCTCCCATCCTGACCATTTCTAGGGGTATCGGCGGAGCTAGCTAACATGTTCAATTTGTGGGAATTAACATTGCTGGACATGTTTGCTGTGTACAATATGTAGATAGGAAACAGTGTATATATAGTGTACATGTATGGTGTATGTGCTTGATTTTGTATGTATAAGTTACGTCTTGTAAATACCATAGAAAACCTGAAGCTTGTCAAACATCATCATATTTCTGATTATTGTAACCCATACATCTTAACACTAACTATAGCATATTCGGTATCATTAATGTGTTTCGGCCTGGTAAAGCCTTACTGTTGCGTTTGGTGAACTGTTTTGTGGTGTCCGATGTAAGGTTTGCTTTGGGAGCTTTATAATTAGGGGTCCTGGTGTAAGTATTTTAAGTGATCTATATGTACAAATATATGGTTGGTGATCTATGTGGCGTGTTCTCCCGGTGTAAGTTTGACTGGTGAAATATGGGTGTTGTTCCTTAGTTTAAGAATTAATAATGAGCTATCTGATGTACATGTATGTTAAGTGAGCGATGTGGTGTGTTGTCCCGATGTAGATATTTTAGTGAGCTATGTAATGTGTTGTCCCGGTGTAAATGTTTTAGTGAGCTATGTAATTTGTTGTCCCGGTGTAAATGTTTTAGTGAGCTATGTAATGCGTTGGTCCCGTTGTAAATGTTTTAGTGAGCTATGTAATGTGTTGGTCGCGGTGTAAATGTTTTAGTGAGCTATGTAATGTGTTGGTCCCGGTGTAAATGTTTTAGTGAGCTATGTAATGTGTTGTCCCGGTGCAAATGTTTTAGTGAGCTATGTGGCGTGTTGTCCCGGTGTAAGTTTGACCGGTGAACTGTGGCGTATTGTTCCTTTGTTTAAGAATATTTAATGAGCTTTCTGATGTATGTTAAGTGAGCGATGTAATGTGTTGTCCCGGTGTAAATGTTTTTAGTGAGTTATGTGTCGTACACTGTATGTTTTGTGAGCCTTGTGGTGTGGTGCCCCGACTTGAGTTAGGTGAACTATGTTGTATTATCTATTCGTTAATGCAATGGAACGTGTCCAAACAAGATCATGTACATATTTTATATTCGGGTCAGGTATGAAAACAGTACGTCAAAGTGTGTACATTTTTTGTACGTAGCCCCAAAGAAACTCTCTGTACTCAGCTAGGTGATTTTTTGTTATTGTATACAGATGTAACGTAAATAACGACCCCGTCATCTGTGTGACCCATTTCTGAAGTACATGTATATGTACATAGTTAACACATTGACCATATCAGTTCATAGTCAGCAGTCTCGCTGTGTAAGTGTGGGTGATAGTTCATAGCCAGCAGTCTCCCTGTGTAAGTGTGGGTGATAGTTCATAGCCAGCAGTCTCCGTATATGTACATAGTTAACACATTGACCATATCAGTTCATAGTCAGCGGTCTCGCTGTGTAAGTGTGGGTGATAGTTCATAGCCGGCAGTGTCCCTGTGTAAGTGTGGGTGATAGTTCATGGTCAGCGGTCTCCCTGTGTAAGTGTGGGTGATAGATCATAGCCAGCAGTCTCCCTGTGTAAGTGTGGGGGATAGTTCATAGTCAGCAGTCTCCCTGTGGAAGTGTGGGTGATAGTTCATAGCCAGCAGTCTCCGTATATGTACATAGTTAACACATTGACCATATCAGTTCATAGTCAGCAGTCTCCCTGTGTAAGTGTGGGGGATAGTTCATAGTCAGCAGTCTCCCTGTGTAAGTGTGGGTGAGAGGTCATAGCCAGCAGTATCCCTGTGTAAGTGTGGGTGATAGTTCATAGCCAGCGGTTTCCCTGTGTAAGTGTGGGTGATAGTTCATAGTCAGCAGTCGCCCTGTGTAAGTGTGGGTGATAGTTCATAGCCGGCAGTGTCCCTGTGTAAGTGTGGGTGATAGTTCATAACCAGCGGTCTCCCTGTGTAAGTGTGGGTGATAGATCATAGTCAGCAGTCTACCTGTGTAAGTGTGGGTGATAGGTCATAGCCAGCAGTCTCCCTGTGTAAGAGTGGGTGATAGGTCATAGCCGGCAGTCTCCCTGTGTAAGTGTGGGTGATAGGTCATAGCGAGCAGTCTCCCTGTGTAAGTGTGGGTGATAGATCATAGTCAGCAGTCTACCTGTGTAAGTGTGGGTGATAGGTCATAGCGAGCAGTCTCCCTGTGTAAGTGTGGGTGATAGGTAATAGCCAGCAGTGTCCCTGTGTAAGTGTGGGTGATAGTTCATGGTCAGCGGTCTCCCTGTGTAAGTGTGGGTGATAGATCATAGCCAGCAGTCTCCCTGTGTAAGCGTGGGGGATAGGTCATAGCCAGCAGTCTCCCTGTGTAAGAGTGGGTGATAGGTCATAGCCGGCAGTCTCCCTGTGTAAGTGTGGGAGATAGGTCATAGCCGGCAGTCTCCCTGTGTAAGTGTGGGTGATAGATCATAGTCAGCAGTCTACCTGTGTAAGTGTGGGTGATAGGTCATAGCCGGCAGTCTCCCTGTGTAAGTGTGGGTGATAGAGCATAGTCAGCAGTCTCCCTGTGTAAGTGTGGGTGAGAGGTCATAGCCAGCAGTCTCCCTGTGTAAGTGTGGGAGATAGGTCATAGCCGGCAGTCTCCCTGTGTAAGTGTGGGTGATAGAGCATAGTCAGCAGTCTCCCTGTGTAAGTGTGGGGGATAGGACATAGCCAGCAGTCTCCCTGTGTAAGTGTGGGGGATAGGTCATAGCCAGCAGTCTCCCTGTGTAAGAGTGGGTGATAGGTCATAGCCGGCAGTCTCCCTGTGTAAGCGTGGGTGATAGTTCATAGCCAGCAGTCTCCGTATATGTACATAGTTAACACATTGACCATAGCAGTTCATAGTCAGAAGTCTCGCTGTGTAAGTGTGGGTGATAGTTCATAGCCAGCGGTTTCCCTGTGTAAGTGTGGGTGATAGTTCATGGTCAGCGGTCTCCCTGTGTAAGTGTGGGTGATAGATCATAGTCAGAGGTCTCCCTGTGTAAGTGGGGGTGCTCGTTCATAGCCAGCAGTCTCCCTGTGTAAGTGTGGGCGATAGGTCATAGCCAGCAGTGTCCCTGTGTAAGTGTGGGTGATAGTTCATAGTCAGCAGTCGCCCTGTGTAAGTGTGGGTGATAGTTCATAACCAGCGGTCTCCCTGTGTAAGTGTGGGTGATAGATCATAGCCAGCAGTCTCCCTGTGTAAGCGTGGGGGATAGGTCATAGCCAGCAGTCTCCCTGTGTAAGTGTGGGTGAGAGGTCATAGCCAGCAGTCTCCCTGTGTAAGTGTGGGTGATAGCGCAGGTCGCAGTCGCCAGCTCTACATACAGTTACGGTTTATATCCATCACGTCCTGGATTTTCCGTAGTATCGGAAGATTGTGTCGATATGATCTGAGTATATTTATACTTACTTGTCTTTAGTATTATTGTTGCTCTTTCATTTTATTTTAAGTGACATACAAATCTTATCATCCAAATTTTCAATAAATGTTGTTATAGATAAATACCGTTTTCGTATTCATTAAAGAGAAACCGAGACTCGTCTGAGAACAAGATATGGGATTAATCCCGTCTAGTTAGACATGCCTAGCGATGGCATCGCTGCAGTAAAGGGCACAGGGACCTGATAATTTGTCGCAGCTATATTTGGACCTAAACTAAAGTGTTCAGAGTAATTTTACATGTTGTAGGGGTTTATATCGATTTTCGGTAAAAATTACACCCCAATGATAATATATCCGAGAAGGGAGGAAAGCTCTCGATGTCTAAATGTCGAACCAACCTAATTTTCTTGCATCAAAATCAACATTTCTAGTTGTTCTACGGGAAAATGCTTAGTTCCGTTTGAAAGATGGATAATTTGTCTTTTAAAAACCTCCTATATGTACGTAAAATGTATTCTCCTTCTGCAGACATAAACTCTGTTTCCTCCAAAAATACACCCCATTTCAGAGTTTCAAAGTTTTTCTCAGTCAGCCTGCTATTTTTTAAATATTGATGGGGTGACGTCAGCCACATGCAAAGACCCGTGGTGTGATTGTCTGGAAGTGCAGCCATTTTTTCGCTAAACCATCCAATACTACATGTTTCAGCAAAAAAGTGGCAGGCTGACTGCGGCAAACTTTGAAACTCTGAAATGGGGTTTGAAACTTTGAGAAACAGAAATGTTGTTTCTGATGCAAGAAAATTAGGTTAGTTCGACATTTCGGTACACACTGTGGTACAGGGCGGATAGCTAGACGTTGTGGCGTGGACGAATGTGCCGTCCACACAGGCGGTTTCTTACAGTTCTTGGACTGATTCTTCCCGCCGTCAAACCTACAGTTTGGAAGCGGTTGTAAGTGCCCTGACATACATATGTAGTGACGTCACACGCGTGACGTCCTGACCTGGGACAATCTCTGGGCCTGTATTCATGCTTCATGCATTCTAAGATGCTATCATTAATTTAATACCGGAACAAGCCATTAGGGTGGAGCACAAAACAAGACTTGATAATGATATACGGTCCCTGATGTTACCAGACTTGAGTATGATATACGGTCTCTGGTGTAAAAGACTTGAGTATGATATACGGTCTCTGGTGTTACCAGACTTGAGT